ATTTATAGAATTAAATCAAAATTATTAGTCAATAATTTATGTAGAATAGAACATAGATATGTGATAAATACCAATTAGACAACCTTTTTACTTTTTTTTCCTTTTTCTTTAATTTTTTTGACCATCTCCCTTCACCAATGTTGAACCTGTCGATTAGGATGCATGCACCCAGTCGAGACTGATCTTTTGATTTCTAGAATACTTAAAATACTCTAGTTTACCAAGCATCACAAAAAAAGATTAAAAAAAAAACCAAAAATCACAGTCCTCATAAAATTGTAAGGAACCCAGTAGAAAAGAGAATGAAAAACAAAAAAAAAAGTTTAGGTCAAACAGTGAAAGGCTTGGACTGTTCGAGCAAAGATTTGGCTGATGAAAAATGAAAGGAGAAGAGAAGAGAAAAGAAGAGAAAAAAAAAAGGGAGAAGCAAGAAGAGAAAATGGGTTAGCCAAACTTTGATCTTTTTTCATGGGTTTCTAATATCTGCAAAGGTTTTTTCTTTAAAGCTTCTAGAAACAAAAATGACCAAAAATTACCCTCAATCTCTTTTTTTTTACATTGCTAAGCCACCGCCCCTTCAACATAAATAGGGTCCAGCTTTTATATTAGGGTGAGATATAAGTTTTGAATATATAAATTAGATTTCAAAAAGCAACAATCAAAATATAATTTCAATTAGTTAAAATTTTTTAACATTTTAATATTTAAGTTTCAAAGTTTTATCTTTACTTTTCATGCATTTAAAAGTAATTATAACTTAATAAATTATTCAAAATTTATTTTCATAATATCTATTTTTGCTCTTGTTAAAAATATCAAAAGTAAAAACCTTTTGAGCATTTGAAGCCTTTGAGCATCTGTATGAAGTATCATAATTATCTTGAAACTTCCTTGCATGCCTAATAATATCAGTCCAAAAAAGAAAATTTTACTTCTGAATTATTGCACATGATCAACTCTATAAAATTATTCTCAATTAGAGGTGTCAAATAGGTTAGGTGATTCATGCACAACATGATTCAATAAGGTATGAACTATGTTTGACACGATTTGCTATTAAATAATCAGATCGAGTCAAGTACGATACATATATATTGTCATATTGGGCTAAAAGATTTTAAACAAATAGATCAACATAGCACGACCCATTAAGCGTTAATGTCATCACATGACATGTAAATTACCATGGCACGACACACAGGCCTAATCGTGCCATGTTGACCCATAATTGTTATAAGTGAGCTCTTAGTCTTTGAGTGTATTTATATTATTTTATATTGTAATGAAATTATACTTATTTTTAATATTTTGTTTGTAATTTATAAAATAAAGTTATATTAAAATTACTTATTATATATTTAAATTATTAATAAATAAATTATATTTAATTAGTTATTAGTAAAAATAAAATGACAAAAATAAATTAAAACTTCAAGTTAAGTTTAATGAACAAAATAAATTACTATAGAATAAAAGTATAAAATAAATGCACAAGATAAAACATTATATAAGTGAGTTATCAAATGATAGGTATGAAAAATAGAATAATAATCCTATGTTCTATAGTATTTTGTATATGTATGTGTGATATTTTTTAGATATAAAGATAATAATTTTAATATTTTTATTTAGTAAATTCTATTATCTATTTTCGTGGATGTAGATATTTTGTTGAACCATATAAATGATATGTCATTTTTATTTTCTTTTATTACATGTTATTTTTAATAATAGATGATTTTTTTAAAATAATTTAAATCTTGAAAAACTATTAATGAGTTGTGTTTGATCCATTTTGACATGAAAAATAGTGTCATACTTGGCGCGACACAAATTATGAAAATTACGGACCATGTGTCGTGTTGGACCTTACCTTTAGTCTTTACGGACTATGCTAGTATGATACATTAAAAAATAATATTGAATCGATAGAATCTATTAATACATATGCTAATATTTAAATGAATTGTGTCTACTTGGCACAACCGTTTGACATGTCTATTCTCAACAAGCAAAAGCCCAATGATATAATTTTCTTTTTTTTGCCTACCAACTAAAAAAAAATGACAATTCATATATCATATATAATATTATATTATAACATACATAAAAATCTAATAAAATTTGTTTGTATGGACATTTAAATAGACAACTTATATTATTAATACGTAGGATAGTTCTAAATAACTTTATTTAATTTTTAAAAATATAAAAATTTACATTTATCCATGTCACTTAAAATATATAAGTTTTATCGTAATTTAAATAAAAAAAACATATCTCATATATCACTCTTACCCATTTATATAAAATACAAAATTCAAATAATTTTTAAAAATTAAATCCCTAAATCTTAAAAATTATAAAAAAAAATCATACATCGTCTAAATCAATGTTCACATAAATATTATATTATAATATACATAGAAACCTGATAAGATTTGCTTATGTAGATGCTTGGACAACCTATATTATTGACATGTAAGATAGTTCTAAATAATTTTATTTAATTAATTATTCCATTTTTAAAAATTTTAAAGTTTCAACATTTACATTTATTCAAGTCTTTTAAAACATATAAGTTTTATCCTAATTTAAATTAACAAAAACACATTTCATATCTCACTCTTATCCAATTATATGAAATACAAAATTTAAATAATTTTTAAAGATCAAATCCCTAAAAAATCATAAAAAATCATATACCGCTTAAATCAATATTCATATAAATTTAAATAAATAAAGTTTATGGTTAAATCATTGTTGTTTACCAATTTTTTTGCCTTTATTTTCTTATGATTTAAAATAAAAAAGAAAGATATTTTATTTCAATTTAAAATTACACATGTATCTAAATTTAAAATTATTCTAACCTCTTTTATCTTAATTTAAAATTAAACTAAGATAAACTACATTTTTTAAAAATTTAGAGTTTTTAAAATTAAATAATTATCAAATATATATATGATTTTATTATCACAATGAATTTTTTTTCTTTATAAAAGATAGAGTAATCAAATTTTAATCGTGAAAATTTGACATGATAAAGTTTCAATTTTGTGGTGAAATTAGATTCTTAAATCCTTTATTTTTTTTTACTGTATTTTTAATGATTAACAAAATTATTTTATAGATTTCAGTTGTGTTGTTTGTTCCTTGAAATCTTAGTTTGTATATGTAGTTGATTTAGTGGTTTTTTTTTATTTTTTATTTTTTTATTTGTGGACTTGAGAAAATCAAAACTCAAGTGTTGCCGGCCATCACAAGTATTATTATTTTTTATAGCCTTGAAATTATTAGTGCTATTCTTTTAAGTTATACTTATTGACTTTCTTATTTTGTATACTGCTATTTGTGTTCTATAATATGTTCTTAAAGAAGATTTTAAAACTATTGAGATGAAAGGTATAATGAGTTAGCTGATCCATTTAGTTGTAAGTAATTATAATAGTATTTGTTATCTTACCATTGTGAATTTATAACTTTCTATCTGTTTGAATGGATTAAATATTTTTTTAAGCTCCAATCCTCTTATATTTAATAATTTTTCCTGAAGATAAGCTATATATAATTTAACATATCATTTATTAATTAGTTTCATAGGCTACTTATGGTTTATTTTCGCTCTAATCCATTTTGTTTGGATTCTTTATAATATAATTATATAATTATATTCCAATTATGACAGAACATAAATTAATTATTGTTGTTTTCCCTCTTGAATTGTAGTTACATTTATCTTTTGATATTTACTATTTTGATTTAATTTTTACTTTTGATATGTTAAACAAATCTCTTTTATCTTATTACTTATAATTTATTAGCAATCTCTTATAATTGCAATTAATAGAAAAATATAATAAAAAAATCAAATCTTTCTTTGTTAATTTGAAATTAAAAAATAATAATTTATCTTTTTAAAATTTAGGTATGATAATATTATTTATTATATAGAATATAGATAATTTTAGACCAATTAAACCTTAGAAAGTTAACTAAAAAAATTTATTTCAATTAATCTAATTAAACTAAATTGATAAAAATATATGTTTTTTAAAATTCATATTGCATGTTTGATTATTTTTAATTTGCTATTATTTTTTGACCAAATTATTCACAATTTTATCTAATAGTTAAAATCATAAATCTTGATTTAAGCCTACAATCATATTACAAGACAATACATTTTTTCTTAGAAAAAAATAGAAGATAAACATTTATCATGTAATAATTTAATGTATAAGCATGTAATCACAATTCATATGCCATTTTTTTTTTTGGCAATTTTGGATTTTGAATAGTATTTATGTTGGTCTTGAAATGCTAAATTTAATTATGAATATTGTGAATTTATTTGATTTTTATAAAAAATTTTGAATTCAAAATTATATAAACAATAATCTTTAATTCCATTAATTGGATGGTAAATCTTAATTATTAAGCTAAATTTCTTTTTATTTTCATTGAAATTTCAAATTAGAATTTAAAAATTTATTACCCAAAAATTTTTAAAGGAAAACAAAACTAAGCTTTTCAACCTATAAATAACATATAATATGTGTAAATTTTTGCTTTCACACTAAAATAGTATATATTTTTAAGAGTATACGTAATTATGAATAAGAATTTGATTTTCTCATTAAGTTTTGTATGTAATTTTACTTTCATAACACAAAAAAATTTTAGTGAAATTAAAATTTTTCAAAATTACATAATGCTTATTTGAATTATTTCATAATAATTTATATATAAATAACTTTTTAATTTTTGACTACGAATTATAAATAATTACAAATATTTTTATATATCTATATATAATATAAAAATAAATATAAATTAAAATTTTAAATTATAAAAATATAATAAAAATTTTCGTGCATGGCATCGCTAAAAAAACTAGTTTCAGGATAAAATATTGTTTGCGTTACGTGGCAGCCAAACACTTCCAAAAAAAGAAAAAAAAAACTCGCTTTGCGTTTTTCCTGCCAATAAAAGCAACACACTTCAACCAAAAAATTTCGGCCCCGAAACAAGCCCCAAATTCCCCCTTCATGGCACCTCTTACTTTCCTTTTCTTCTTAATCTCGTCTCTCTTCCTATCTTCACAAGCTAATCTTCATCTTGAGCCATCAAGAGCCCAAGATGAATCCTTCACGTCAATACTTGTATCTCAACTGGGCCTTGATTTCATCAAGGATTTGCTCATCAACAAAGCAATCACTTCCATCATCCCTTTGCAACTGCCTGCCACGATTGAAAAATCTGCCAGGATCCCATTTCTGGGAAATGTTCATATGCTTATCTCCAATGTTACTATTTACAAAATCGATGTTTTGTTGTCTTATGTTAAGCCTGGGAATACTGGGATTGTAATTGTTGCTTCTGGGACTACTTGTAACTTGACCATGAATTGGCATTATTCTTATAGTTCTTGGCTTGTTCCCATTGAGATTTCTGATGGAGGAAGGGCTTCTGTTCAGGTATTCCTCTTTTTCGTTGGAGTTGAGCAGCTTCTCTATCGCAGAAAGTTAATGTTTTGAAAAATTTATAAATTTTGTAAAAAAGCTGATAAACAAGTTTAATAAAGCTTTTTTAATAAAGGAAAGATAATTTTAGCTACTTTTAGCACTGTTGTTCTAAATAGGCACTGGAAACGGGTTTTCTTTTAACTTGTATTTGCTCTTGGTTGGTTGGTGCGTTTTGGCTTTTTGGGTGAAATATATGCAAGTTTTTGGCTTTTTGAGCTTATGCAAATGGGCTTCATTTCTTATGCTGGAAATGAGTTTCGTTTTACATGTTCATTTGCTAATTCATTAGTTTGATTTTGTTAACTTATGATATGGGATAAAGTTATTGTATTTTATTTTTTCTTGCAGTTAGGCTTCATTTACATGACGTGCTTGCTTTTTCTTGCGAATTGATTCTAATTTTATGAAGAGCATTGCATACAATTCAAGTATGAACTTTATGGTTTGTGCATTGCATTTTCACTTGGCTGTGGTAGACTGTTATGTTCGTAGCTCGATTTTCTACATATGCTACTTTCCTAACATGTTTCCTTCATTATCTTGTTTCTAAAAGTGGCTAAATATGGGTAGCAACCATGTGTGAGTTTCACATGCCAGTGATACTTCTGTCTGTTCTGAATTCATGCTTGGTTGACCATTTCTAATATAATCTTTAAGAAAGGGAATCTGATGACTGATGTCTCTGCGTAAGGTTGAAGGCATGGAAGTGGGGCTTACATTAGGCTTGGAGAACCATGAAGGAACTTTGAAGCTGTCCCTCATGGACAGTGGTTGTTATGTGAAAGAAATCACCATAACATTGGATGGAGGAGCTTCTTGGCTTTATCAAGGGTATGTTAATTTTTATGTCGATTGACTAATTTTGTGTTAATAGTATTTGAGGTTTGCTTTCTGGTGACATAATCATTTTGCACATTAGCCATGCCAGAACTCTTATTATCATGTGTCCTAAGTGCAACTGTGATTCTTTCAGATCTAACTTTTTTTTTTTAATTTGAAGCTGAATATATCTTATTTCACAAAATTCATTATTCATGGTCACGTAAAATAAAATGCTATGTGCCTTATAAATTGGATAACAGAAAACTCAATAAGATGTCATAAGCAAGTGCAACTTTTCGCTCTTATGAGTTCCAAGCTCCATTGTCTCCCCACTTTCTCCCTCCTTTTATATTAATGCTAACCAATCACTAGAGCTCTCTAATGGGTAGTTACTGAGCATGTTTATTTGATCTCACAAGATTGGAAAACTCTTTTTTCGTTTCCAAAGTCGCTTCAATGATACTGGTGATTTGATGCCCATTTGCAAAAGGGCCATTGTAGAATAAAAGACATGTGAATTGGTGAAGGCTACACCTTTAGGTCAGAACATTCAGCAGGGCTTTTAGGGAGGTAGACAAAATTGTCTTTGGGCAGAACAACAATTGAGGGTTCTTTTTTCTTGTTCTTACCCATCTGCACGTCTTAGTTTTGCTTTATAGTTGAAGGAATAAATGTCATGGTATTTGGAAAATGTTTCCACTTCGTTTACTTCAGAAAATTTTATTGGAGAGGAATACTGAAGCCTCCTGAGTGGTGTAGCATAACTTCATCAAGTTAGAGTCCTACATCTTGAAAGCCCTTTCCTCTTGGGTTTCCTTTTTCACCTTATCTTAAAAGTGATTTTTTTGTAGAGTTTCCTCCTAAGGTCTTTAGTTGTTTTTCCCTTTACTCTTTTGGTGCAATTGCATATATTATCCATCTATTCTGATCTTCTGACAAACTGCCACTTTAGAATAGTTTATTTAATGGAACTGACATTTCATTTGCAATGATTGGACTCATGTAGCTATATGCTTGATTGATTTGCACCGTTGACAGTGTTAAAAGAACTGTTCTTCAGTATCTTTTCCTCATTATTAGGTTGATGCTTTTCCTTTTTTTCGAAAGAGGGGAAAAAAGCCTGACAGTGCTGATTTTACCATCTTCACCAATTACCTCGGATCACCTATGCACATTTTGTTATTTTTCATTGCAAAGCAACATTTTGTTATTTTTCATTGCAAAGCAAGATCAATGTTTTATTTTATGGTGATTCAATTCTATTGTTTTCATTTTTCAGGATGATTAATGCATTTGAGGAGCAAATAGGATCTGCAGTTGAAAATGCTATTACCAATAAACTTAAAGATGGAATCTTAAAGCTTGATTCATTTCTCCAATCTCTTCCAAAAGAAATTCCTGTGGATGATAATGCTTCTTTGAATGTGTCTTTTGTGGCAAATCCTCTATTGAGCAATTCTTCCATTGAATTTGACATTAATGGGTTATTCATAGCAACGAAAAAGGTTCCTGTTCCTAAGCACTATCCAAAGACCCAGCAACCTTCAGTTATCTGCATTGACCAGTCTAAAATGCTTGGAATTTCATTAGATGGAGCTGTATTCAACTCTGCTTCAGCGTTATACTATGATGTGAGTTTGGAAAACTATGTAGAACTATTGAAGTATGGTGTGTAACTCTTTTAAGCAGTAAAACTATGAGCGATGACTACCTGAATAGAGCATCATGTTTGCTTTATCTTCATGATAATTTGTCTTTAAGATAGCAATTGAGTTATTCAGGTTAAGTAATATAGATTATACCAATAGGTCTAAGATAGACTTACTTGACCCCAAATCTAAGTTGTTGACTTCTGAGTTCTGACTACCCCTTGGTCCCTAACTTATTATAGTAACCACGAACAAATTGGAGAACAAGTTGGCAAAGATCAATATGTTTTTTCGAGTTTATGCTGATTGGTTCTCTCCCCCCTCCCCCTTTTTCTTTGTCTCTTTGCATGAACTGTCCATCTTTGTATTATATTATTGTTAAATGAAGGTTTCTACTTGTGGCCAGGCAGAATTTATGGAATGGATTGTGGATAAAGTGCCAGATCAGGCTCTTTTAAATACTGCTGAATGGAGATTTATCATTCCCCAACTGTACAAGAAATACCCAAATGATGATATGAATCTGAACATTTCTCTGTCTTCTCCACCAGTCATAAGGATTTCTGAGCATAATATTGGTGCTACCATTTATGCAGACGTGATAATGGACGTGGTTGATGCTGGTCAAGTAATACCCGTTGCATGCATTTCATTAGTAAGTTTATTGATTAAAATGTAATGGTTTGAAATTTCTTAATTTTCTTGTTGCACCTATTCTTTCCTTTTATTTAAATAAAACTGCAGCTCTCTGCAACCCCCACCCTCTGCCTGCTTCCAAACAAAAAGAAAAACCATGGCTTCTTGCTCTGTTGATTTTATTCCTATCTTGACAGTCTTAGTCATTTGTTCTTGATTTCATTTACCAATATCATCAGTCATGATAATTGTGGCAGGTATGTCTGCTGGTGTAGAAATGGCTTTCTTTGGTAATGCCGGTATGACAATTACCAGAGTAACAAATTTTAAGTTAGTAGTTCATATCGTCAAACACTTAGCACTTCACATGGCAAACATAACAGCTTTCAGTCATTATAATGGATGAGAATATGAAAAGCAAGTTTCCTGGAAGTCAGCCCAGTGATTTATCTCAAGTGTGGATGTAATTGAATTAGTTTTATTACATTCTTTTCTGACTTAAGAAATTGTTTGTTTGTGGTTATACTGATGTAAAAACAACATATTTTTGTGAATTTGATTTGGATAGGAAACCATTGAAATTTGAGTAAATATCAATAGGTGACTTGTTCCTTCGTTGCTTGGTTAAGGTTAAGTTTGTGAATTGTGACTATATGGAAGAGATTTTGATGTTTTAGTCAAGTCCACAGCATTGAAGATGCTAGGTCTCTGAGTTCCATTGTTGTGTTTTCCTTTTCCTTCTTCACAGGTTTATTGCTTTATACATGGTTTCTTTGCTAGATTTTCTTAATTCAAAGCTTATGTATTAGAAAAGAGAAACCGTTGTTTGAAACATGATATTGAGGCATTATGTCCATTTCTGTAACCAATGTTGATTCATTTGTTATGGCAGGAGATCCGCGGCTCAGGTTCAGTTAAAATCGTGGGGAATAACCTTGGTGGCAGTGTGAAGTTGGATGAGTTGGCAATGTCATTGAAGTGGAGCCAAATTGGCAATCTTCGAATGTATCTGATACAGGTTGTTGTGATATTAGTATTTAATCAAATTAATGTATGGTTAGTAGTAAATGGTCTAATGTATCTTTTACATATTGCAGCCGGTGATGTGGACACTTGTTCAAACTGTTGTGATACCATATGCCAATTCGTACCTTGGAAAGGGTTTTCCTTTGCCCATCATTCATGGTTTCACCCTTGAGAATGCGGAAATTATTTTCTCTAGTTCAAAAGTCACAGTGTGCAGTGATGTGTCATATTCAGAATCAGACAGTCTTAATCAGCTCTGAATCCATTTCGAATAGATTATCCATTTATTTGTTCATATTATGCAACCCTGAGATGCCCTCAAAATGGTTACAGGGGAGGAAAGAAATTGTCAATTTCCCACTGTTGTAGCGTTCTACTTCGAATGCAACTGTCCGGGAACAGAATCCACAAAATGTGATAAAGCTTGTTCAATGTACAAAGGCACAGCTCAATATGTATCAGATTTCTTTGATAATTTGCAGATCATAAGCCAACATTGGTTATTGTTTGTATTATATGTACATATTAATCAAATGAATTCAGGAACATTGGCTGGTATGACTGGAAAATATGCTTCAAATCTATTCTAGCTGTATTGCTGTTGACTGTTGTCATCATGAGTCTGTCGAGTCCCGTCTTAAAATGCTCCAGGTTTAAGTTTGGTTCTCCTAGTTGATAAAAGTTCTTTAGAATAGAATTTAAATTAAAATCGAATTTGAGTTTAATTCAGTTGATATATGCAACGTATTTAACAAATTTAAATTAAAATCTTTGTATTTATAACACATTTTCTTATGTCCAGGCTAAGCTATCTTTGTATCAAAAAAATTAAATTAAAATCCATCTTACAAAAACAAGCATAAAATATTTCATATAACAAAGAATTTAAAAAATAATAACATACATATATGCTTTCAAAAGAAAAAGGAATATGGACATATTTGGCTGTACCTTCTCAAAAACGCTGCGTTTCGGTTTCTGTTCTGGGGAAATCCTCAGTTTCCTCCAACAGAAACATCATCCAGGCATACAAAATCCGCAGCAAAGAACGTAACTGTGAAACTCATAAACCTCAGTTAAAACCAACTCCTTCTCTTCACTAACCAATCTTTTTCCAAATTTTTATGCAGTTTCATCTCAATTCCGTCTCAAAAGAATGCAGGTCGCTCTCCCCATTTTACCCTCCAAGCTCCCCTCAATTTTCCCATCCCACCACCCCATTTCTCCCACTCACCAACCCCGCATAAACCTCGCCTTCCAAACTCAAGCCAGCCCCTTCAACTCCCTCAAAACCTCCGGCTTTTTATCCACAATCAGCCGTGCTATAGATGAAGAAGAAGAGTACCGCAAAGCCAGAGCTGCTGTCACCAAAAAGGGTATTGAAGTTGAAGGTTACTTCATTGAAGGACTCTCTATTGGTGGCCATGAAACCTGTGTCATGGTTCCTGAATTGAAGTCTGCTTTTGATATTGGGAGGTGCCCTTCTCGTGCTATTCAGCAGAATTTCGTTTTCATTACCCATGCACATCTTGATCATATTGTAAGTTCCTTCATTTGCCCAAACGATGATGTTTTTAGCCATAGTTTTTAGTCAAAATTTGAACAAATTCCATTGCTTGACCATAAGTTATTTGAAAATAGTGTACCCTTTCAATTATTTTGGGTTAGCTCCAGTTATTTGCTTCAAGTTTTAAGTTCTGGGTATTACTATAATCTCATAGGGTGTTTAATGGCTCAGGGTGGGTTGCCAATGTATGTAGCTAGCCGTGGCTTGTATAACTTAAAGCCTCCAATAGTATTTGTACCTCCATGCATCAAAGAGGATGTGGAGAAGCTGTTGGATATTCACCGGACAATGGGACAAGTGGAACTCAACCTTGATTTGGTCGCACTTGATGTGGGTATGTTGCTTCCATCACAAGTCTATTTGTTTGTTCATGTTTATTTTTAAGATGACTTTACTAAGGTTTTTTCAGGTGAAACATATGAATTGCGGAATGACATTGTTGTCCGACCATTTAGAACTCACCATGTTATACCAAGCCAGGTATGCCTTACCAAGTCTTTTCTTCTGAATTACATAAATTTATGTAGAAGAGATCATGTTGACTACAAATTAGGAGCATACAAACACTCAAGGCAAAAACGTGAATCCATCTTTGAGTTGTAAGCGGGATGTGCATAAAAATATATGGCTATTTAGTTTCTGCCCTCGGGAAATTCATTATTATGGTTTGAAACATGGATGAATATGAATTTGTTATCTCAGTTGTTTAAATTTTGGATACTTTACAGTCTAAAGTACGAAGTTGGACTTTTTCAGGGTTATGTTATATACTCTGTTAGAAAAAAGCTGAAGAAGCAGTATATTCATCTGAAAGGGAAACAGATTGAGAAATTGAAGAAGTCTGGTGTCGAGGTCTGTAACTTTGGCAAAAATAGCGTGGACAAATATTAGTTTAGCTTTAGGCATTTGTTTGACTTGAAACCTTCCTTTACAGATCACAGACATTGTTTTGTCTCCAGAGGTGGCATTTACAGGGGATACAACAGCAGAATACATGCTTGATCCACGTAATGCAGATGCCTTGAGGGCCAAAATTCTTATAACTGAGGTATGGATTGAATCCAATTGTTTCCACCTCCTTTTCCCTTGTTAGCTAATGCTGAAAATAATTTTTGCAACATCTGTGTTAATATCGCCTGCTTCATGTTGCAACTAGTAGTATAATCTGAGATCTGAGTCAATGTTAAGGACAAAGTGAAATTGGATGAGACAAGTAGAATGCTTGGTAAAATCCATGATTAAATTGTGTTATGCTCTGCCTGCATATGTATCACATGCCTTTTCTTTGCCTTCTAGCAGTTATAACAGATGTGAGCTTTGGTGTAAAAACTCAAACATACGACTTAAACAATTCTATACATGCACCTTCCGCATCATTTCTTGCTTCTAAAATCTAACTGTACCATAATTATTTCATTAGTACAAGGCAGTCTCCAAGACAATGGACCCTATCCTGTCTAAGTGGAACTCAACTCTACCAAGTCATAGGTTTTCAAGTAATGGGCACTGATTTTCTGAGATCTGTTTTAGTTTATATGGAAGTTTTCTGTGATTTAGCTGTCCCTTCTCTAGTCATAAAATTTTGGAAGTTGCAGCTGCTAAGAAAGAGACTATATTTGACATGCTCAAGAAAAGAAAATAAAAGCCCCACTTATCTTTGCACTGATCTCATGTTAAAATCATGACATGCAATGTTAATATTCTGTTCTTTTTCCCTCCCCTCCTTGGACCAATATTCACAACTTTGTGCAATTTATAATCTTTTCACTTTCTGATGTGGAAACATTTTTAACAGGCAACTTTTCTTGATGAAAGTCATAGCATCGATCATGCAAGACAACATGGTCATACTCATTTACTTGAGGTAAGTTTGATGATGATTCTCCCATTCTACTGTTACGACATTATTAATGACTTCTAACATTATTTGATGTGAAATTTCAGATCATTGAACATGCTCAGTGGATCAGGAATAAGGCTGTCTTGTTAACTCATTTCTCTTCCCGCTACAGTATAGAGGTACTCATTTAATTGAACTACATGTTTTTGTTCCATTTTCTATGAAGGGTAAACATCTAATACATCTATGTGAGCTAATAAGCTTCTAAAGTGCTGCAATATGATTGCCTGCTTGCAAGGGAGGCTGAGGCTGATTGACATAAAGATCTTCCTTGGAAAATAACATTCCATATAGTTTAGCTAAATGGTTTATCATCTGAATTGAGGTTCACTCCATCTTGTAGAATCTTAGATGTTGCTAAATTGTATGTTTAAGGATATAGATGATGCCTGCTGCCAAGTAATATTTAGCCTTTTCTTTTATTTTTCCCTGCTGAGAATAGAGTAAGAAGTCATAATTAACAGTTATAATTGTAGTTACTTAATCCTTTCATCTTAATCCAAAAATGTTTGTGGCTAAGTGTAGTATTATAGACCTGCTCTCTCCACCTTTTAAAATATGCTAGCAGTTAACAGAATAGTGCATCAGATAAAAATTTTCGTGAACCTGCACCAGGAAATACAGCTGCTATATTATTGCAGGAAAGAGCCATATTCCAACAACTGTATACCACGTGATGGTCATCTTTCCTTATTGCAGGACATTCGGCAAGCTGTTTCTAAGTTGCAGTCTAAAGTGTCAGCAAAGGTGGTTCCTCTAACAGAGGGTTTCAAATCAGTGCACTCGTAGTCATGTTTTCAGCAGCTAAAATGAATTAGAGGATAGAAGAAAAGAAGAAAAACATTCAATTTCTCGTTTTGTAATTAATACATGGATGGTATTCATAAAATTCTTCTGATTTTATAGAAATCTGTTAACAATGTGCATTGGTATTAAACTTTTGCAACTTCTTTTAACTGATTAATGTAAGAAACCATGATGAACTAGGAGAAAAGAAAAAGGGTATCATCATGGAGATATAGACTGATTTTATTCACTTATCAGGGAATGGCTGTGCCTTTGTATGTAAAATGTGTATCAGCAGTAATGCAGTAATACCTCTATATTTACCAAAATGGCCATGTGAGTGCAGTGTTTTGAATCCGATCATTGATTTGCCACTTAATCTCATAAGGCACATCTTTCTAAATGACTGCGCACCAGATTCTCATCAATGAAAGCCTTTGAATTTGCCATTAAGGCATCATTAACACATCTATAAGTTACGCTCTTATGCTTTTGCCCGTTTTACAATCCTGCAGTGTGCATGTTTTATTTTTAAGATGTCCAAAAAAGCGTCATATAGTAAGCAGGGTTTTTAGAATAATGTATTACAATCAGTGAATTCTGGTTGCGAAGATGCAGCCTTAACAGATAGTCATCACGCCTATGGTGACTGCAAACATAAAGTTGCCTGTTGTCTCTACAAGAATGGGCAATTGGAGCATGTTTACTATACTCAAGAGTGTACCATACTCGTGTATCTACAAAATTAGACTGCTGTCCTTGGCTCTAGCTGGTGTCAGGACAGAACCAGAAGCCATATGATAAAATCAATTCTCAAATTATAAATCCTCTGCAGATGATAAGCATCATAAATCCTCTGCAGATGATAAGCATCAGGGTCATGTCGCTAACACCGATTGGGAAAAAGTGATTACCTATACCTGCATAGAGCAGAATAATCAGGGTCATGTCACTAACACACCTGACTATAACACAAGATCTCACAAGTTTTATGGAACAGACTCCTTGTTCTCTACAACTTTCATCATTTTACAGTTTCAAGCCATTAATCAAACGATACTGTCATAAATCTTTCCAATCTGGTCAAAAGAGAACCATCACGGTATCTTTCTTTGCTCTATAGCAGCAGTAGCTCTTGCAGACTGTCAATCTCAAAGAATCTGAAGCCCAAAATTTCTCTGCAATCAATGACATTTTTCTCTGAAGCTTACTGTTATCAATAAAATAAGATAACAAGAAAATATACAAGATTCTGCAATAATGACCCATCCACCAGCTTTATATCTTGGATTTATGATTCTGAAAGGCGTCGGTGCAGTCAGACCAAAGAAATGGCATCCGATACCACCAGAACAAGAAAGTTTGACCAATCAATCTGTTCTAGGAGGGGATCCAAAAAGTAAGGATGCGTTTGTTCCTCCAAAACCAAACCAATTAGACAATGCAGCTCTAACTGGCATTTCCTTCAAAGCAGTCAAATGCATGAAAGCATTGTTAAATATGGGATCAGGTTTAGTGACATTAAAGTGTTAAAGGTACAATTCCCTGCAATAGGACACCACAATGACCATTTGGTATAGCTTCAAACTTTCTTAAGTGTACTATACAGAATCTTTCATACAGTTCCTAAACATTTTTTATTAGCAGAAAGAGAACACCACTAATTAGTCCACATACTGACGGAAAAATACATGGATAGGAATCACAAATTGGTTCATACAAGTGGGAATTCCTATTAGAACCTTGTCATAAACTTTTTGAAAAGCTATGTCTCACCAATAAGTTGAAAGATGCTTTATCTGAATCATTTAGAAGCAGAAAAACTGAAATACTTACATGATGTATGGCTAAAACAGTAAAAATGCCTTCAACAGCTCTGGCTGCGCCAAGAAGATGACCAACAGCACCCTGTGTATAATGGTGATTATAGCAGTTTTAATGAAAGCGAATGGTTAATAAGTAGATGAAAGCTATTAGCAGGAAAAGAAAACTTAATGAAATTACAGTAAAGTGGAATGGTACAGCACCGGAAAAGGTAACATAGCTTTTTCTTTTTCTCCCTAATTCACTTTTAATTCCCTCCCTCTCTTTTTCCCGCACATCTTTTCATAAGAGCAAGAAAATTGGTAGGGCAAATTGCTTTCAAATTTGAACTCAGATCTTTAGGTAGTGATGAAAACATCTTTATTGATAAGGCTCTCTTTCTCTCTCTCTCAAGAAATGTAAGTTGCATCTAGTAGTATCACCTAAGATACTATATCTTGGACAGAGTTTTGTCCCTTTTAAACTTTTATTATCATCTCTGTGGTACTTTATTCCTTTCTAAGTTGTGGACATTGGTGGAAGAAGTAAAAAAGATATCAAATTCCAACCAGCCCAATTTCCAATTATCTAGTCAGTTCTGAATATTAATGCATAAATAATCAAGTGTCATTTTACCTAGAATGTTTAATCATGCTAGATTTATGGGACAGAAGATGTGCCAAGTATATATTTTTCACCAGCCAAAAAGGATATTGCAGCAGGATGAAAAACTGACCATTACCTGCAAAATCCAGCTATTGATAAAGCATCAATAATTAGACTCTGAGCCCCCAGCAGCCATAACATCAGCATCTCCAAATTGAACCATCCTCATAGCATCACCAATAGAATGAGCCCCAGTTGCACAAGCAGTCACTGCTGACTGCTGCATGGTTTGGTCCCTATATTCAAAAGGTGACTAGACTATGGAACAATAACTTTTACTTTAAGAATTTTCTTTTAAAATTTTTTGTGACAAAACTGTAACAGAAGTTTGAGTCAGCAGTCAACTGCTTATTAAGGACAACGACCCCTACACAATCACAGTGTGTGACACTGATAGATTAATCATGCTCATTGTCAACTAAATCAATCAATTTTTGTGTACCCAAAGCCAAATGCTATAGCAACTTGGTGTAATTTCTAATATGCAGTATTAATTTTTAATTTGAGAACTACTAAAATTTTATTCAAGCTCAAGCATTTTGTTTCCCAGGAATGACCTAACAGATGAACTAGAACCATTGTAGCTTGTCATAAATATAAACATAACTATATATATGCACACACCAGGAATCCATATTTCATGCTAACATTACCAGATGCCATGTTAGTATCCTTGGAATGAAAATGGACTTAGTTGATGAAGATGCTTTATTAAAAGAGATGAGATTTAACTTGTCATATTAGCTGTTTCCATAGCCAAGTAGTTCATTTTCCAGCCCATAGCTGACATGAGGAAAGTAACGATGATGACCCTATGAGCTAGTGATGACAATATAAATACTGACAATCATGATGACAAAATAAATGGTAGCAGGAAACCAACCTTCTCACAAATCATTTGTGCTTGCATCTAATATATCACTGATACTTCCAATCTCACCACCTATAGAGACTCCCTGGTTACCCACAAGTTAATAAAGAATAAGTTACTGAAAAGAACCTAGAGAAAATCTATATATCACATATTACCATTAATAAGTGATTACCGTTCTTTCCTTCTGTTCCAGCTCAGCAGGCACCCATTTTGCATCTTTTAAAACTTCACCAGCAGCACAAATTGCATAGCTTATGAATCTTGCAACTGATCGATGTTACCGAGCAACAAGAATCATTGATTATAGCATGCACAGAATCAGAAAATTCCATAAGACATTGATTTGTCTTACAGAAGAAAGAGTCTAAATTATTCTTTATTAGCATAATTTAGTGATCTAACATCAGATTAGACACTGCACATCACTTTAAAATAATAAAACAACTTGGGATTCTGAGATGTGAAAACTAACAATCACAACAAGCACAAAGGACACCTCTTCCCAAGCAAACAGAGCTCCTCCAATTGAGAAAATAAAGTCATATCCAGACCCCAAAACAGCTATCAATTAAAGCATCCTCGCAGTTGCGAAGAAATCATGTTTTTCCAGCTTCATATTTTAATTGCCCAAGTTTCTTGCTTGGAAAGTAACTAAATACCTGCATGCACCAGTAACATTTAATGTAAAGTCACCATACCCTTTAATATTTACTTAAGAACTTATTCCACAGAGTTCTAAAAGCTAAACGCTTCACCTAAAAGGCACTCAGCTCTACATTCTTAAAACCCAAAATTTATTTCTTCACTAATTCAAAGTTCAACCCACAATACAAAACCTCGATCCAGTTCCAAATACCACATCACAATGTAACAAACAACACAGTCCAATTAATAGGTCATCAACCAAAATCACCTAAAGAAAAGGATTATCTTAGAATTAAGCCAAAGTTCCTCATTGAATTCACCAGGGTTAGTCCCACACGGCATAATTGCAGCATCCTTGGAAGTTAACTGATCGATGGTAAGCATCTGAGTTTCTCTATCAAAAGCATTCATCTTTAAATCTTCTGGATTTAATGCCCTTATCCGACACTTGCCTTCTACCAAACGTTTCCATGTTGTTTCAACTCCGCAGCCAAGTGGAGCACCAGGCCAAGCCCTGAAACCCAACAAAAACAAATAAGCAACCAGTCTTCACTAACACTGAGAAAAAAAATTTTTTTTTTAAAAGCGAAGAAGAAATGGGAGTGGAGAGAGGTTGAGGCAATTGGAAACGACATGTCGTCTTCAGTTTCTGCCAACAAAACCTTGCCATGGCCTCCGGTTTGGTTTGTACAAGACGGGGTTTAACTTAAGTTGAGCGACTCCGAAACACGAACAGATCTTCATAAAGGGGGGAAACACAGTTAAAATTGGCTACTGTTTTGTTAAAGAGATAGGTTATATTTATTATTTTTATTTTTATTTGAATTATAATTAAGTATATATAATTTTTCTTCACCTTCAAAAATAAAATCCTTAATAAAAAAAAAGTATTTAACTACATCATTTTATTTTATATAAATTCATTAAATCTTATAATTATTTAATTTATAATAAATTTTTAAAATATAATATTTACAATACAGCTTGAAATCATATTCTCCTATATTATTATGATTTTTCATTTTACATTTTATGGAATTCATAATAAAAAAAATCTTGTAATCATGTAAAACAAAGAAAAAAGTACTAAAATTCATGCAGAACATAAAAAACTCCACTATTGGCAAGAAACTATGATTGGACAATAAATGAAGAGTTTAGCACATCACAATCCCTATAAAATTATATGGTCCTCATATTTAAAGCAGCACCAAAACTTTTAGTTGAAGATCTTGATTCTTGACCAAAATACACTATGTTTTGGTGAATACGATTGTCAACAAAGTAAAAAAAAAAAAAGTACTTTACCAAAAAAAGTATTATAATAAAAGTGGCATATCGTGATTGGTTGGAACTTGGAAAGCAAACCCAGATCAAAGTCTTTACATTTTAATTTTTCTTAATTTGAAGAAGATTAAAAATAAAATTATTTTTTTTTTAAAAAAGGAAAAAACATATGGTGTGTTTATCTATGACATGCCCATGAAGAATCTCAAATCTCAATCAGATAAGCTCTTTATTTATTTATTTATTTTTCTATATCTATTTTCCCGGTTTCTTTTTATATAAAAATCGAATTACAAATCTCTCGTTTGACTCAGGTAGGACGCCCCTACACCTGTGTATTTTAGTATTATTATTATTATAAAATTCCATTCAACTCTCTCTCTCTCTCTCTCTCTATATCTCTCGATCAAGCAAAATCTCGATGCAACAAGAACCTTCCTTGAACTAAAAGCCCTTTGATTTCCAAAAAAAACTCTGGGTCTATTAGTTTTTTTGGTTTTCTTGATCTGGGTATAATCGAAAATTTGTTGTTTTTTTTTTGGGTGGTGAGTGGGGATGAGGAAGAGGGAGAGGGAGAATCCGTGTGGGGTATGTGGGCACTATCACAAGTACGAGGAAGGAGAAGTTTGTGGGGTATGCGGTCACAGAGCTCCCGTTTCTTCGGATAAAGCATCGCTTCAAGTCAGTGCTTTTCCATCGGTGATCTTGCCTGACTTCCTCTATTTGGGTAGCTATGATAACGCCTCTCGCTCTGAGCTTCTCAAGACCCAGGGAATTACTCGTGTCCTTAATGTAATCCTCTTCTGCTTCTTCTGATTGCTTACAGTATTAGTATCAGCTTATGGTTTTAATTGTGACGTTGAATTTATTGATTTGGGGATTGAATATAGTTTGGAAAAGTTGACTTATGATTGTTTACTAATTGGAATAATAAAGAATAAATTAGGAAATAGAATTTTGTGCAGCATGTTAAGGTTTTTATACTGCTCTTTGATGGGATTTTGGCATTTTAATTATTTGGCTTGTAGAATAGTGGCTTGATGATTGAGTTGATTTGTTATATTGGAAGACCTTGTAACTTTATTGATCTAGAATTGTACTTCAGAAGTCTTATTGTTATCAGCGGGATTGGGGGTGTGAATGAAAGATCATTCACAACTTTGAGAACTGATTGAAGCTAATATTTGTACTATCCAAATACAGTAGATTTGCATTGAGACTATGCTTTAGGCCTTTACCTTTTGGCTAAACTTACATATGAGTCAAAACAGATATCTAGGATAATATTCCTTGGTGCTTGCTATTTGCAAATGAGGGTAAGGCTAGTATTATTGATCATAAGTTAGAAACATGGGAGGAAGTTAGTATCAAATGTGTGGTTTTTGATGTGAAGCAAGACCAGAACAGGATGTGTGGGTGCAATTTATTAAAGGTAGAGCAAGAAATAATGGTTAGATTTGATAGTCAAACAGTCCTAAGAGCAATTGTTAGATTTATACAGAGCCATAAGACATATAGAATTAACTAGAAGGTGGCTAAACATAGCAGCCAATAAATACCTTCTTTGTCAGATTTACACATTATGGAAGTTTTATGTATTCTGTTTGCCTTTTCTAAGGGCAGAAAACTGAATTATATTAGAACAGAGTCAAAGATGCAACGACTTCTTGTATCAAAGAATAGTGAGATGATTATGTTTTAAACCTAATTTAACTGATACTATAATAGAAATGAGGAGAAATTGGGATTGGGGACTTTGATGACTGCATGGTTATGTTTTGGATGTTGTGAATCATAACTTTTAAACTAAGCAAACAAGTAGTTTGCTATCATCCAATTGCTATTGCCGATGGGATTGACAAAAGGAACATCTTGGAAAGTGGTAAGATTGATGGTGTTAATATCCGTTAATTTTCATATTTCATTATGCAGTTTGTTCTCCTTCTCTTTGTTGGATGTTGTGACTGCTAAAATACATATTGATGATTGTCAGGTGTCAAAATTGTAGCTTACTTATTTTGCATATTCTTATGTTTTTCCCATTCTCTCTTTGCAGACTGTACCTGCTTGTCAAAATCTCTACAAGAATTCATTTACCTATCATTGCCTGCAAGATGGCAAAAATTTACAATTTGATGATGCAATACAATTTTTAGGTCCGTTAACCTTTGTATTGCATTTATGAAGTTTTAGTTATGGTCATAAGGTTGACTTTGGTGTCTCCGCTTTTCGTACATGACTTCGGTATTTCCTCTGTCATGCATCTAATTTTTTGCCTGTGCAAATTTCAAGATGTTGGTCTCAGCAGAACTCAGTAAAAGTTACTCTTTTTTAGGTCCTGAGAAGCATTTATTGAGTATATTTTTCTCTTTTACATTTACGTAATGAGGTGCTTCTGAATTTTCTTGATTCACATGGTCAAATGTGGGTATTCTGCTGTCAAATACATGTGCTTCCCTGGGGGCTCTGCACTTTCACAACTTTGGAACCTTTCTATGATATTGTGTTTACATATCAATCACTCTTCTCAACTTGGTAACCTTGTTGTGGTTTGCCCCGCTTATATCACGATCTCCTTCATTACCTTAGTGACACATGACTGTTGGAGAGTTTGCTTGCAGATCTTATGCAAATGATGTTTAATTAATGTTTGCCAGTTACATTGCAGTAGCTCAGACACTTCTAGTTGACATATCGAATAGTTTTATATTCTCATTGTCATATTATGACACAGTTCATTTCTGCAGAGCAATGTGAGAGGGATAAGGCTCCAGTCCTTGTGCACTGCATGTCAGGAAAAAATAGGTTGATCTTACTGCTGCTTCATTTCTTTTCTTATCCAAGAAATATACACCAAAACAAACATGAGCATATAGAAGTGGCTTTTTCCTCTGTTTTCTTTTTTATTAATCTTATTTTATACCCCAAAAGTTAAAATTTGAATACTGAAAGTAGAATTTTCAATATTGACTATAGTGGAAGAACCTAGTGGGACCTTACCCCGGAATCTTTCCCAATAAGATGGCCTGCAGATAGCTTTGGCCACCATGTCATTTTGTACATAGGAGATAAACTGCTATGAATGTGTGTGTATCAATTTTTTTCTTTGGATTTGGGAAGGGGGAATTCCAACTCTTCGGAAAGGGATACATGCACCTAGTTTTGAACCTATGCTCAGGTGGGTGGGTGGGCGTGTGTACCCCTTTAAACGAAACAAATTGTTTGTTTGTGAGGATGATTGTATTCTTTCTGACAGGTCACCAGCAATTGTAATAGCTTACTTGATGAAGTCTAGAGGATGGAGGCTTCCACAGAGCTATCAGTGGGTGAAAGAACGGAGATCATCTGTTGAGTTAAGTCAAGGTATTTACCAGCCTTGACTTAGATTACCTAATAGATTACCTAATAACATGGAAGCCATTTATGTTGTTTATAGTACTTAGTCTGTTGTTATTTTAGTTAATTGGATGTCATATGCTTAATTGAAAGCAATATAGGAATTCCACTTGATATTATTTGGAACCGGAAAAATGAATGTCATATAATATCATTTGGAAGAGGAAAAAGTCTAATGCTGCTGAAACTATCATCAATCTGTTTCTAATTTCTGATTGGTATTTGTTAGATTGCATGGGATGGGTGGATACTTATGTTTCTTAGTTTTTGTCTGACAAATCAACTTTTTCCTGGCAACTGTGAGAGAATTTAGAAGTAGAAATGCTTTTTTCATGAGTAAATTATGTATGATCTGTTTGTGTAAAGTAAGTATTGCTTTGGTATGATTGAAATTGAGTTTAGGGATTGTAAACTGGTGATGTTTATTCCATTATGATCTTCTTGCTATTATTATTTTTGATATTTTTCGATTAAATGCTTTCTGATTTTCATTCACTGTTTGTGATTTGTAGCTGTGTACCAGCAACTGCAGGAATATGAGCAAAAGATCTTTGGATCATCTGATAGTAGCAATCCTCCTCTGCCTACCTTTCCACCTGCTGGAGCCCCATCCTTCAACTTTGGCTTCTTAAAGGCAAATGATCCAGTTCCTGTTCCTATTCCTGCTTTCAATAATATTGGTGCTACTTCTATTTTTGCCCGTACGCCTTTAGAAGTTCCTCCGCATGAGTTCACATTTGGTGCCGGTCAGACCCAGAAAAGCGTGTCTGAAAGCCTAGCAAATCCTAGTTGCACCGATATTCCAATGGATAGCACTTAGATCCCTGAAGTTTCTTTTGCAAGAACAACCATTTCGCCAATGAGACCGACGACTTTTAATGAGGATATTTATGAAATTTGGCTGTAAATTGTGAGTAAAAATGTTAGAAGTTTTTCTGGTTTGTTAGATATGAAGAGTTGGTACATTCGCTCTTGGTACATTCATTCTGGGTGCCTTGAATGTGAATGAATATATTTATTTTTGGACCAGCAGAGAGTTTCCTATCCAAGGATCATTCATATACTTGCCAGCATCTATACTCACTGGAGCTCACGCAAGAATATGAACTTACTCTGCATCGTAAGCCAACATCTCGGATAATTTTTGCCCAATCTGGGGGTGATATGTTCCTATAAATTGACTTTTCAGCCGGATGGTGTGGCACCAGTAAACTTAGAATGTCGATACAGTTTGAAAAACACAGGCTATTATAATATGGATTTTAATGACAATCAATTAGCAAGAACGAAGAATGAGAGAAAAAAATGTTGAGCAATGGAGCAAGTACTTGAGCGCTGGATGTTAGAGATTAATGTTACTGAGCTCTATGAATTCATCCAATTTTTGAGCCTCTTTCTCTGCTGGCAAATTACCCAGAAGGGGCACTAATAACCATTGCATCGTTTATTTTGGTTGAACTTACTCAACTAAACCCCGAACAAACAACAGTAGTAAAACGCTGATTAATGTCCTTCATGAAGTTATGGTCATATTTTTTGCCATGACAATACTGTTTCCAGAACAGCAGAGACTGTAGTCATAACAAATAATGTTATGAAGGCCGAAAAAAAAAAAAAGAAGAAATTCACACCATTGACTTGCAAAAAGCTCACATATCCAAACCAAATTCAGTCCAGTATCTGTCTCTATTCACACAGTTCACAATTAAATATGCATTTTCTTCACCATTTTGATCGTCTTTAACCGTATTTTGACACACGAATATATTTTTTGGCTATGTATTTTCGCACCCATCACACATTTCTAAAACTAGTAAGCAATACATGTTTCAAGGGAGGACTTGGCAAGCCATAATAGACCAGGATCATTCCGCTTTAACACTAGATAAGTTTCTGCCTTCCCAATGTCGTCCAAGATAACATCTTCACTAAAACCAATCAAGAGCAGAATTTCCGTGACAGCTGCAAGAACAAAAACATGATGAGAATTAGAGTTGAATAAGACACTTGTTATGTGTTTTTACTTATTAGGATTGTGACTAGTCGGTCTTTAACCAATTCAATTGGTGTCCTCATCATTTTATTTTGTCTCCAGCTCTCTAAATAGACCTTAAATGCTTTGCATTAAGCTCCTGCGTAATGTGGCCAAAAAATAAAATAAAATAAAGACTCCTGTGTAATGCACTTTTGACAAGGTTTGCTCCTATCCTTCCAGTGAAATCCATATTCTCCTCAATTGGTCATCAAATAAATCTTTTACTTACCAAAACCTTGTTTAGCATATAAAAAAACCTTGTTTAAAGAGGGGGGAAAGGGGAAAGAATAAAAAGAAACAAACCTTTGTAATTTGCAACATTTCTTTGGATTATAGGATTGGCCTGCAATGTACCATTATTAATAACTAAGAAAAGGATTAGATAAAACAAGGATTACAATACATAAAAGAGTTGTCATTCTCGATTAACTCATGGAAATTAAGCGAAACCTCAGGACTAACAAGGATTCTACCTTCCGAAGTTTTATAAATTTCATTTCATCTGGGTGCTTGATCAAATTCCTGCCAGCAAAGAAAATAAGTTCCAGCTTGTATCAGTAACTTAGTTCACAAAACAAAGAGGAAAAAAAAAGCATGGCAGAATAAGCAGGAACTAGAACATCTATAGAAGCTTGCAAGAGGTGGGCTCAGATGCCGAGTACCAATGCTTTATTGTGTATTGAGGAAACAAAAAACAGAATTAAAGGACAGTCAAGCAAGAATACCATACCTAATTATCTTAAATAGAGTTTGCAGATCGATAGTTGCCTCCGTGGGATTAACTTCAGCTCGCAACATCTCAATGGCCTTTTGCAGACACTAAAAACATCAGTAACAGAGTCTCGGATTCTCTGTAATTCTTGATCATCTGGATCGGGCTCATCAATTTTCATATCGTATATTCCCAGCTGAGGCAATAACTTATCATCTGGATGAGGTTCTGCTTGTTCTATTTCATCTGCTTTAGTTTGATCAGGATCAGGTTCTTTATGACCTTGGTTGAAATGGGCTTGATCTACCAGGGTTTCAGTTGTTATTTGATGACGAGGATCATGTCTTGCCATACTTGTGCATCCCAAAATGTTCAATCGTGCTTCTCCATCATCAGGATCTGGTTCACCTATGGTCTCTCTTGTTAGAATCTTGGTGTCCAGAATCTCCATCACCATAGGTTCAACTACATTTCCAAAACTTGAAGCACCTGAACCATCAGGATCAGGCTCTTCACTTGAACACATGGCTGCTGATTTCCCAAGAGTCTTCTGAGAATCGTTTTTAGTAGATTCAGAATGATGTTTCAGTAGCAGAGTTTCACCATGCAGCAAATCATCTGGATCTGGTTCAAACTTGTTCTGATTTCTAGAAAGGTCATCAGGATCTGGTTCATAAGCAAGTTTCCCCACAGGCCTAATTGGACTTTGAATATCTAGATTTTCATTTCCATCATGAATGGTCAACCCAGAGTCTTGGATTCTCTGTAATTTTTGATCATCCGGATCAGGCTCATCAATTTTCATATCATATATTCCCAGCTGTAGCAATAACTTATCATCTCGATGAGGCTCTGCTCGTGCTATTTCATCTGCTTTAGTTTCATCAGGATCAGGTTCTTTATGACCTTGGTTGAAACAGGCTTGATCTACCAAGGTTTCAGTTGTTATGTGATGTCCAGGATCATGTCTTGCCATGCTTGGGCATCCCAAAATGTTCGATTGTGCTTCTCCATCATCAGGATCTGGTTCATCTATGGTCTCTCTTGTCAGAATCTTGGTGTCCAGAATCTCCATCACCACAGGTTCAACTACATTTCCAAAACTTGAAGCACCTGAATCATCAGGATCAGGCTCTTCACTTGAACATATGGCTGCTGATTTCCCAAGAGTCTTCTGAGAATCATTTTTAGTAGATGCAGACTGATGTTTCAGTAGCAGAGTTTCACCATGCAGCAAATCATCTGGATCAGGTTCAAACTTGTTATGATTGCTAGAAAGGTCATCAGGATATGGTTCATAAGCAAGTTTCCTCAAAGACCTAATTGGACTTTGAATATCTAGATTTTCATTTCCATTGTGAATAGTCAAACCAGAGTCTTGGATTCTCTGTAATTCTTGATCATCCGGATCGGGCTCATCAATTTTCATATCATATATTCCCAGCTGTGGCAATAACTTATCATCTCGATGAGGATCTGCTTGTGCTATTTCATCTGCTTTAGTTTCATCAGGATCAGGTTCTTTATGGCCTTGATTGAAATGGGCTTGATCTACCAAGGTTTCAGTTGTTATGTGATGACGAGGATCATGTCTTGCCAAGCTTGTGCATCCCAAAATGTTCGATTGTGCTTCTCCATCATCAGGATCTGGTTCATCTATGGTCTCTCTTGTCAGAATCTTGGTGTCCAGAATCTCCATCACCATAGGTTCAACTACATTTCCAAAACTTGAAGCACCTGAATCATCAGGATCGGGCTCTTCACTTGAACACATGGCTGCTGATTTCCCAAGAGTCTTCTGAGAAATGTTTTTAGTAGATTCAGAATGATGTTTCAGTAGCAGAGTTTCACCGGGCAGCGTGTCATCTGGATCAGGTTCAAACTTGTTCTGATTGCTAGAAAGATCATCAGGATCTGGTTCATAAGCAAGTTTCCCCAGAGCCCTAATTGGACTTTGAATATCTAGATTTTCATTTCCATCGTGAATAGTCAACCCAGAATCATCAGGGTCAGGTTCATCATGTGTTTCAGATGCTTCCACATTAGCAGAAGCATTTACCAGATGACGATAAGCAGCAGCTACAGAAGAGGCACGGGCATTTTCCAGCAAAGTTGACATATTTCCACCAACCTTCTGAGAACTTCTGGCATCTTCAACATAAAAATCTTCTTGATAATTGTCTGAATGTCTGATTCCACTTATAGTGTGGCCCCTAGATTTGGTCCAATCCAAGCTAACAGCTTCTTCATTCAACTGCCAAAAAAAAGTAATTTACATCAAGACAGTGCCTTTTATATTGAAGCAATAATATTTGACAATGAAGAACTATTTCTACTCATAAAAGTGAGAATATAAAGGTAGTTTTACCTGTTTATCAAGGGCGTAGAAATTTGAATCATGTTCAGAGAATACCATATGAGCCTGAAATATACAGAAGCATAGTTCTCAATAATTTGTTTGCTAATTTTTCCCTACCCACCTCCTCCCCACTCTTGTCCCTCCCTCTATTTTTTGGAATTATAATAACATAATCATCACTAACATTGGTATAATTAATAACTGAAATTTGTTAAATAATGCTTTCAAGTTCATGTAAAAGAGTTTTTTTTATGCTCTCATATTTCCTTAATCCTTTCAGGTCATCAGTTCGAAGGCAGATATATATCTCTTCTCCATGATTCTGAAAAAGCAAATAAGGATCAACAATAAAAATAATCGAAAGTAGAGAAGTTGAAAGATTTTGATATTCTATTTCTTCTATGTTTAAATAGGCTATTACCTTATTAAAACCTAGAATGGATGTGGGACTCACACCAACGTAACCAACTGGAGCCCTCTCAGTCATTATTCCTACACGCCATCGATGCTTTACAAAAGAACAATCAAAAACTAGTTCAAAAGAGCTTACAAGAGTCAGTCAAGCAAAGTAGCATGAATATATATGGTTCCCATGGTACCTTGTTCATGATAGCAACAATTCCAGGGTCTGAAGCAAGCATATGCATCCTTTTTAATGCCTCAGAAGCTGCAGGGTATAACTGGCAACAAACAGTAATCAAGATATCAGAATAGTTAATAATCAGCTCTAAAATGGTTGCTTGTCACGTCCTTAGATTCAAAAACTGACAAATAGCACATGAAGATAACATAATTTAAGATGTCTGATGCACTTTATATGCATCTCCTTATGTACAAAATCAGAAATCTAGAGCCAAAAATCATTTCTCCATCAAATGGTGACTAGCTTTTTCACAGAACTGCTGTCTATTACACCAACCATATACAATATTACCCATAAATAACAATCCCGTGAAATTTCATAACCCCTCAACATTAATTTATTTGTGTAAAATATTAAATTATGAATATACTCTAAGTGAAACTTGATCAACAAAAATTGCACCAATGGCTTTTTTTTTTTTTTCATTTTTCATTCCTCAATTGCATATTGTCAACAATAACGAAATCAGAAATACCTCTACACCTGGAATTTGAAGCGTGCGAAAATCACAAAAGATGTAAGGTCCTTGAGGATGTCTTATAGAAGCATGGGGTCCATCTGACATTCGCTGCCTCAGTCTCCTTTCCTCTTCATTGAATCCAGCTATTCTCAGGTCTACCTTTGAATTTTGTATAACTCGCTCAACTTCATCCTCAGGTACCCCCATCATCCTGACAGATTTTCCCTAAAATTAGAAGAAACAAAGTACTATAAGTTGGAATAGAATGTGTAAGAAAGTGTGACAATTTTAGTTTATCATGTCCATACCATCACTGCTTTTTAATACTTTCATCTCTTAAGTGATAATCATTTGAGCCCCTTTTCAAAATAATTTTATGCAAAGACAATTATGAACATCCTTGTTTTCCTGTGACTAAGAACCGTGAACAAAACAACACCGGCAAGTTGCACTTAAACTGAAAAGTAACAAGACATCCTTGGGCATCCAAAACACATAAAACCAGCTTCAACCGAACATAAAATGCAACCCATATACTTCATCAATTGCCTTTTATTGCAATTGTATGGGTAGATGAAAGGATGCGAGTACTTTAATCTATTAGCATTAAACAATAAACAGAGTGATGGATATACCCTACAAGGAATAGTAAATACCATGACAATTGAAGCTTCTTGCAAACTCAAGCATGAGTGCTCATCCGAGAAAGGGTGCAGCATTCTCGAGCCTTTGCCCGATAATCGAGGAACAATAAGCCGCAAAGTATCCGCCTTAACCTCAGTCAACTTTTGCAGCTCATCTCCTAACTCCTTGAGATTTGCACCAGAATTCATTTCCACCATATACTTGTTCCCTCTCCATAGAACAGTTACATTCACCATATTTTCTTGCTCTTCCATGTTGCACTATAACGCCAAAAAAAAAAAAAGCAGAACAACTTTTAATCACTCTTAAAAGCAAAAAAAAAATCATTATCGCAAACTTTTTTTCAAATTGAAGTATTTTTCGATAAAGGATGTAAATTTAACAATTAAATTTCAGCACCCAGAACTCTATTTACATTAAAAACACAGAATTTTTTTGCAGAATTCAACAAATTCTTACATACAAATTAAACTTTAATATCAAGAATTAAGGATAATAAAAAAGACCCAGATTGAGAATTTTGATTAGATTTTATTTACCTGAGGTGTTGCTGCGGATTTTCTCTTTCTGAGAAGGGAATATTCTTCTGGAGGATTGCTACATGCCGGGGTTTTCATTTAATTAATTAGGAACGGGGGGCGTAGGATAAGATATTAACGCGTCTTATGCTAAAATGCACGGTTGTGTTGCGCATTTGCTGGCGTGAGACCATTGAGAGGATTCTAGAAAAATGTGTCTGGAAACATACAAATGGAGAATACAAGGGGAAAGATTTAGGAAAAGTATTTTAGGTTAAATGAATAAATAAAACTAAAATTGATAAATTAAAAGATTTTTTATATAGATTAGATGTATAAAATTTAAATAAATTTTTATATATTTTTTAGATAAATATTTTTAATAAAAAATTAATAAAATAAATATCGATTAAATTTTAATTATAAATAATATTTTTTATTTTTTAATAAATTATTAATTTTTTTTTATGAAATTTTATTAATTTATCAATTAAAATTTTCATAAAAGTTTTTGTTAAATTATTTTTAAGAAAAAATTTTACAAATTTTATTTAAAAATTTTCATGAAAATTTTTTCTTGGTTTTGATCAGGCTGATGTAATTTTCAAGACTCATAAAGGCAAAGGGTTTAGTAAGAAGTAAAGGAGTGGACTGTGGAGCGTCTCGCACGTCAGCGTGTCAAAATCTGAAGTTTTCAAGTCCAAATGTATATTTCTTGAATGTGAAAATTGTCTGAAAATGGTTTGAAAATAAGATGGAATCATATATACGTAAACCTGTCCATGGTTGGGCCAGTTCTGGTCGACCATTCACAAATTCTGCTCAGAAAAATCTGAAATTTTTATTATATTTAAATAAAAATAAATTTCATTCATGAAATAAAATTTTGGATGGATTCAAGTTTAGTTTGGAGTTTAAGCTCTAAGAAGCTAGAAACTGAATCCATGGAGTGAGATCGGCAGCAGCTAACGAGTCAATGTAGTCGAGTGCCATGCGACCAACACGGAAAAAAATTTTTAATATTTAAGTAACAAAATAAAAAATTTATTATAAAATTTAATCATTAAATTAATAAACTTTTTATTCTGACGGCTTTTCAAATTTTTAATGAAACGAAGCCGGAAGATGGGTTCATGATAAGGATTTTTATGAAGTGCAAATTCCATGGTTGGTACCAGGTGACCATTGACCAAACAAGCCAGGTGCAGGGATGAAAACCAACTCTGCTCTCTTTTAGATCTACCTGAAAATTATATTAACAAAAAAAATTATATTATCTAATTCTCTTATAATTTTCAGAGAGCTTTCTAGTTTTAAAGAAGTCTCGAACCGCTTGGTTATTTTTTTTTATAACAAAGATATTATGAGTTAAATAGATGTGAAATCATTGTATACCATTTTTTATAGCTAGCAATTTCTTTTCATAAATAATGTAATTTATTTTGTTAGGTTTAAATTTATCAAAATTATAGCCACAAGTCAATTCATCTTTTTGATGAAGAATTTTTTGCTTTAAGGACACATTTCCCAATGTTCATCACTAGCATCTGTTTCTTGTATGAGTAAATCTTCCTTATTTAGGCAGATAAACTTTAGGAATATAAGTTAGCTCTGATTTAATTTGCTTAATAATATCAGAGTTTGTAGGTGTCTATACAAAATCATTATTTTTACGTAATTTACGCAAAGAAGACTTTTTTTTTCAGAAATATTTTTAAAGAATTGTCTACCATAATTTAATATACTTAGAAATTGTTGTATTTGTTTAACATTATCTAGTTTTTTGAAAACTCATTGATCTTCGAGATGATATGATCCTGCAATGTGATTTCCATTAGCAGAGAAATTAAGACCAAGAAATTCGATCTCTGTTTTTTCAAGTTCAACTTTTTTGGACTTAAAATAATACTATGTAAATAAATTCTTGAGCAATAATATTCAGGTGTTTCCTATGCTCATCTAAAGTAGAATAGAAAATAAGTATATCATCGATATATACACAACAAAATTGGTTATGTTTGCTGAAAATAGTGTCCATCCAATGTTGAAAAATTTGTGGTGCGTTGCATAAACTAAAAGGCATAACAGTACATTGGTAATGGCTTATTAGTGCACTAAAAGCAGTTAAGGATTTAGATTCAGGTTTAAGCATGATTTGCCAAAAACTAGATTTATAATCAAATTTATAATCAAATTTAGAAAAGTATTTAGCATTTTTGGCTAAATTTAGCAAAACATCTTTACGAGGAATAAAATAGCCATCAAATACAAGATTTTGATTTAATTTCTTATAATTGATAACCATATAAGGTTTACCTCATTTTATCTCTGAATGGTTTCTTACCATAAATGCTGGGCTTGAATGTGGGTTGGTAATTGGTTCTATCAGGCTTTTGTCCAATAGCTCAAAGATTTGTATCTTGAATTCGTCCATATCTTGTTTGGTATAGATCATAGGCTTTACATTTATAATCTCTTTTGGATTATGAAGAATTAGCTCACAGTATCTTGGGCTTCTTTTTCAAAGCTTCAATGGTTGTTCACTGAAGTTTTCTACAAAATCTTATAAAGCCAATGTTTTTCATTGATTGTTTTTATAGTATTTGATAATCTTTTTGGTTGAAAGTTTTTATCACAAATATGCTCATGTTCCTGTAATAAAAGAATTTTAACCGACTTTTTATCAATTGTAAGATTAACACGAGTATTAGAAACAATAAATGGAACATAAGTACGTAAAAAATTATTACCTAATAGGATATCTCATGCATGTTAGGAAAACATAGTATTTTGGTATTATGAATTTAACATTGTTGAGATAAATAGGAATATTTTTTGCTTTATATCAAACAATAGTTTCCTTATCATCTATACCTACTATGATGATAGGATGCTTCTTTAGTATCCATTTTGTTATGGGTAAAGCATTGTTGCGATAGCTTGAGATTATTGCTCCAGTGTCAAGTAGTATATATAGACTATACAGTTTATAGTCCTGAAATCGAAAATCACCTTGCACAAACGTGTAATATTTATCTTTGTTAGAAAATAATATTATTTCAAGTGCAAATAAATGAAAATTATTTATAAAATGCAACATTTTTATTTCTTCATTCTTAAGAGTTCTAGAAGAAGAAGTATGCGAATTTAGAATAGAATTAACAAAATGATAATAGGATTGGTTATCACCTGTATATTGCTGAGAAGGATTATCTCCTGCAAAAATAGGAATTTGAGTATTACCTGTATGGCTTATACTATTTACTCTTTGTAGATTTTTTGCATTGTTTGTACTATGAAATCCTAAAAAAAAACTTCGATGAGGTGTATAAAAAAATTGATTATTGGATATACTCTCAATATCATCATCTTTTTTATGTTAAAAAATATTAGTAGAGGGTAAAACCAGATTTAGATTAAAATTAGTTGAAGCATTTGGATTTTTAAAGTAAAGATTTTTTTCCTGATGAGAAAAATTCTAAACTTGGTATTTTCTATTTTTCAAAAGTATTTTAAAAAATATCTTCAAGACACCATCCTTGTGGGATAGATAAACTTGAGTTTGACCAATTTTGATTTGATTTTAGAATCAAAACTATTTGGTTCAAAAAGTTCAATAATATTTGAATCTACCGGTTTGATAGAAGTATTGGTAATATTGATAAATTATAGACTGCAGACCAGTTGATTGAAAGATCATGCGATTTTTCTTCAATATCATATTTCATTATCTTAACACGAAGACATAAACATTTTTCAATATTTTCATCAAAAATAGAAATAAAATAGTTTGGTTTAACTTTAAATAAAACTACACCAGCAGCTAAATTGGATTGGAATCCTCTAATTATAGCATTAGCAGGATTTTTAAAATGATTATTCATTAAAACAGCTATTATAGGTATATCTTTACAAGCAAGAAATAGCAGTTTAATGGTGATCATATCATACCAATATGTATATACTTAACCTGGGGGTATTTACGTAGAAAATGGTTTATTTTTTTTTCTTGAAAAGAGATATTTCTACTGATCCTTGTTTAGAATCATTAGCAACAGTGTCACTAGATAGTTTTTCTATATGGAGTTTAAACCAAGGCCGGAATTTTTTAAACTAACTTGTTTTGTAAATCTCATCTGGTTTGACGAGTTGTAATTCTTTGATTTTGTCTTCTGAAATATGATGAGTTTTTCACATCACATTTTTGAGTTTAACTATACCTTTTTTCGCTGTATTTGTTGTACCTGTAGAAGAAGTAACTGAAACATTATCTTGGTTAGATTCTGTATTCATCATAAAAATATATTCAGATTCATCATCAGAAGAACAATGATCAGCTTAAAAAAAAACTTCATAATATATTTCATCATCTGATAACTCGTCTACAAAATAAATTTGAAGATATTTTTTTCTAGTGTTTTAATCATTTTTCGAGCACTTTTCCCTTTGTTAGGGCAGCTATTTGCATAGTGACCTTCTTGATCACAAATAAAACATTTGCATTTTTGTTTAGAAGATTTTTTCTTCTTAATAACAAATTTACCTTTTTTAGGCTTGGTAGATTTACTAATTTTTTCAAGTTTCCATTTTTTTCAAAAATATTTTCGTTTTGATCGAAAACGAATATTTCTTTTTAAAGGTTGTTTGTTACAACCAAATTCTAATCATTTTCTAAAATCTTAGTACATTGTTGGTAACTAAGTTTAGATTTTACCTACTTGGCAGTTTTTTGCTTGAGGCAGTGTTCTGTAATTTGACTCTGAACGTAGTATATTCTACAGCCAAAAGCATCGTAGAGTTCTATGTTGAGATTTATAGCATTAGCAATTTTTATTTTAAGTTTTAAATAAATATTATAATTTTGAGAGTAAAGTTTATCCTATGGTGAATAAAGTTTTAAGAAAAATTATTGTAACCAAAATTTTGAATGTTGTTCATCCAATTTTTGATATTCAAAAATATATCTTTTACTGAAATCATCAAGATTTCTAATATCACATAATTTTAATTTAGAAAGAAAAAATTAAGCTTCTTGATTGGGGTCCAAAGATTCTGTACTTCCATAAAACTCATTTTTCAAGATTTGAGTTAAATATTTTAAAAGCTGAGGTATATCACCTGCTGTAAGAAGTGAACTTTTCTGAGTAGTTTCCAAAGTTGTCTTTTCCCATTTTTTGAGAAATTGGAGGACATCACCTTGCCATGTGCCATAGAAATATTACAAACTTTTTTACAATCTTAAAGCTTTGATACCGTTTACAAGGAGGTGCGAAAAGGA